GTGGGGGGAGGGGTTTAAGATGGGCATGGGGTGGGTAGCAGGAAGTGCTGGGCAGCCAACTAGTAGCTGAGCTTGGTGTGTTGTTTAGAAAACACTGGAACCTTGCCTTGTTCCAAATCTTTCTTCCGTCTTTTAAAATGCTGAAAGGCACCAGGAAGCCATTATTGAACTAACTGCTTTCCCCTCCAAATAAATGAAGGTCAATTTCAAAGAAACAGTTGTGCTCTCTGTAGTACTGGAACCAAATCGGAATCCTTCTGTCCATTGATTTGGTTCTCCAGTCCTCTCATTCAGATCAGGCCTGATGAATTTCCACCTCCCACAGGAGCATAAGGGAGGGTGGGGGTCTCAGGGATGACTCAGGGCAGAGCCACTCCCACAAACACATGAAATTTCTGGTTCTGAGGTTTCAAAACACAGGGATTTGAGTTGCTCACAAGGAAAGTAACTGGGTTTGAGTGAGGGGAAATTTTACACACAGGGAACCCTTCCTAGGGACTTCCCAGGTGGCACTAGTGGTAAAGAACCCAGCTGCCAGTGCAGGAAACATGAGACTTGGGTTTGATCCCTGGGTCAGGAAGATCCCCTGGAGAAGGGCATGGCAACCCATTCCACTTCTTGCCTGGAGAATCCCATGGATGGAGGAGGCTGGTAGGCTATAGTCCATGGGGTTGCAAAGAGTCAGACACCAGAGAAGCAACTTATAAATGCATTCAATTCTTCCTAGAAAAGGGAAATCTTACTGAAGGAAAATACATTCAACCACCTCTGAAATCATTAATGAAGACTTCCTAAAGCACCTACTATGTACTAGACACTGTACTAATCCCTGGGTTCTTGAGCCAAAGCAAACATGGTCCCTGCCTGCAGGAGGCTCGTAGCCCAGTGAGGTCGTATTATCATAGAGCACATGTTATGTACCAGGCATTCTGCTAGACCCTCTACAGACATTATCCCACTAATCCTCTCAGCTACCCTGACAGGGGAGCTCCTTCTAGACAGAAGATACTGAAGCTCAGAGTGGTTAGACTTCTTGCCTAAATTCACACAGCAAGTAAATGATAGAGACAAAACTTGAATCCATGTCTGTCAGAACAGGTACTTAACCTGGTCCAGTGCACAAAGAAGATGTCTGATCTTTTTGCTTTCTGGTCCCAACCTGCTCTCATAGCAAATGTTCTCGAGAAACCTCAGAGCCACCTTGTGAAAAGCTGATTATTCTAGTTCTGTTACAAAACCCTGTTACAAAACCTTCTATTCCCTTTTTACCTCTGAAAAAGATTGACTCATAAAATGTTAGAGAAGATCATCCACATTCTAGTTCAAGGCTAGGCCTTCTCTTACCTCCTGTACTGTGTAGGATGTGTGTCTCTCTATGCTGGGCATCTAGTCACCCTAACCAGGAAGAAAAAGTGGGATCTTGACCTTCATCTGGAAACCTGGTTCCACATCTTTATCATGCAATTTATTCATTCACTGAATAATTACATATTTATTGGAAACCTACTAGGTCCAGGCATTGTGCTGCAGATCCAGTGGTGAGCAAAGCGGCTGTGTTCCATGTTCTCATAGAATTTAGTTCTAGTGGGGAACACAGGTAATCTGAAAAATATACACATGCAAATAAACATAAATGATTTGAAGAAAAGAGGTGTGCTGCTATTAGAAGTATACTCCAGGGATCAGTATATCACAGGGGTTCCTGAGTGGCATTTAAGTAGAACCCTGAATGGTTTGGAAGAGTTAATTCAGTGACAGAGCAGGTAGAAGAAGAGAGCTCCAGTCAGAAGGAAGGGCACACCCGAAAGTCCTGGGGCAGGAGCTGGCAGGGAACTAACAGAGCCTAGAGAATAGAGGGCCTGCAGGGATGAGTCAAGGCTGGAGGTGTGGGCAGAGGCCAGGCCAGGCCGGGGCTTTTAAGCCACATTTAGGTTTTATGATAAATTGCACCAGCCACAACTGAAGGATTTGAAGCCAACAAGGTGTACAGTATGAATTATGTGTTTAAAAGATGACTCAGGCAGCTATATGGGGCACAGAGCAGAGATGGGGCAGTTAGAACATTATCCCAGTGAGAGCTAATGGTAATTTAGACTAGGCTGGTGGCAGTGAAGGTGGAAGGAAGATGGTTCGGGGACTTGGGGATGGATTGGTTATGATACAGGAGAGCAAGAGATGTATCTGGAATATCCTTGAGGTTACTAGGCGAAACACAGCCCAGAAGATTCCTCCCGGGATCTCCTCAGACCCCAGTTATCAGAGCTCACAAGACACCATGCTAGGAGTGATATGCCAGACACTCTTATGAGTTGAGTCGGGGCTTCCCTGGTGGCCCAGACAGTAAAGAATCTGTCTGTAATGCAGAAGACTAGGGTTCAGTCCCTGGGTTGGGAAGATCCCCTGGAGAATACCTGAAGATCCGGTGTACTTGCCTGGAGAATTCCACGCACAGAGGAGCCTGGTGGGCCACAGTCCATCAGGTTCCAAAGAGTCAGACACAACTGAGCAACTAACACTTATGAGTTAAGTAGACAAAATGTCCCAACCCAAAAGTCAGAACCCATGACCATCAGCAAACCCAGATGCTCAGTAGAAACATCTGGCAGGGAACTGCTTTCAAACGCATAGATTGTTGGAATTCCCCTTACAGACCCTTTGTATCAGTCTCTCTCATATGGGACCATGAGTCTCAATTTTTAACCAGTTCCCACAGGCAGGTCTGTCACCAGCATAGCACCAGTCCTCCCCATGCCTGGTACCTGGAATGAACACTCAATGGGGAGCAAAGAAAGTTTGGTCAAACTTCACCCAGTGTAGCCAGAAGCATCCTCAGTCCTGCCCAGTCCTTCAGGCCAATCCATATGGCAGAAGATTGGAGGGAAGGTGAATTCTTCAAACTAGAGCCTCCCTGGAGAAGGTGAGTTGAATGAGCACTGTGGAAGCAGGTCTCCAGTGTAGCAGGTACACTGCTCAACACTGAATATTCTGTACAGCTTATAATTCTCTCAGCCCCTCTGCAGAACCAGGATCATCACCCTGTGTCTAGAGTTCAGAGAGGCTCAGTAAATTTCCCAAGGTCGCACAGCTAGTAAATGGAGTCTATCGGACTCCATATTTGGCACTCAATAAACATTTGTTTTATTATTCTTGCTATTACTACAGTACTTCCAGACATTTGTCTAAGGTCTAGTGCCCATGAGTGATAAAATTTTTACTGGCTCATGACAAAAATAAGAAAAAAGTTAGGAAAATCCTGTGTTTTTCCAAATGTACTCAATATAAATGACTGTTCTCTTATTCTAAAGACTATGTCCTATTTTGGGAAACTGAAATAACATTTCTTTAATGGAATGATGGTAATAAGTGGTGATGATAGCCATTGTGTGTGTGTGTGTGTGTGTGTGTGTGTGTGTGTGTGTGCATGCGCATGCGCGCAGTGTTCTACTTGGCAAGATAAAAAGTTGGTAACCCTATGTTTGTCCCCAACAAAATTTTTTTGAAATTTCTCTGTGAGTTTCCTAAAGTCTTAGATTCATGGAAGACACCGTGATGATTAGACATGAAAAATATTTGTGGAAGAAAAAAGGAGGATGATTTATCCTCTCGGTGATGGATAAACAAATTAGCCTCAGCTTTGCTGTGAGAGTCAGAGGCCTGGGGCAGAGGTTGGGGACGGGGAAGAATGATGTGTGTAGGGTCATGATTGTCAGATATGATAGTTTGGGGGCCATTTGTGGCAGCACCCAGTACTGCTGGGATGAAACAGAACACAGAAATGCCAGCGGATGTGTGTGTGTAGCTGCAGTGCCATCACAGATGGCCCTCGTAAGATCTGTAATGCAGGCGATGCCTTTACCTGAGAGTGTGTGGCTCATAAAAATAACGGATGGCCGTCAGGCCACACTGGGAAATTGCTTTCTCCCACATCTGCAGGATGTTTCCGCAGTCACTGTGCTCCCTAACCATGTCTGCTAATAATAATACTAATAGCTCCATTTATTAGGCCTTGCCGTGTGCCTGTCTTACACTGCAATAAGAGTACTTTCCATGTGTTCTCTCATTTACTCCTCTCCCTGGACTTACCAAGTGGATACTATTGTCTTAATTTTACAAATGAGGAAACTGAAGTTCAGAGAGGTTGAGTGATTTGCCTCAAGCTACCCAGCTGATTGACGTTTCCCTGGTGGCTCAGACAGTAAAGAATCTGTCTGCAATGCAGGAAACGGGTTTGAACCCTGGGTTGTGAAGATCCCCTGGAGAAGGAAATGGCTACCCACTCCAGTATTCTTGCCTGGAGAATCGCATGGACAGAGGAGCCTAGTGAGCTGCAACCCATGGGGTTGCAAGAGTCGAACATGACTGAGCGACTAACATGTTTACTTTTTCACTTTTTTCACCCAGCTGATTAGTGCCCGAACCTGAATTCACATCTAGGCAATAAGACTAAAAGGGCTCATTACCAGGGGGATCCTAGGTGTGGGACTCTAAGCCCTGATTTTTGGAAGTTCAAAGAGGCCCTAGTGAAAGCAGAGTCTATTCTGAGAAGGTGGAAAGGAAGGGCGAGTGGCTGCCTGTTATTCAGCCACCAAGAGGCATCATATCCTGGTGAGAACATAAAGAATATAAAAATAATTGGGTCTTTCCCCTAGCAAGCTAAGTCACAATTTCTCTTTTATTATGGGTGCTTTAGACTTTTTTCAGCTTCTTAACACATGAGTGATGCCAAATACCTTTTAAGGCTTTTATCTAATTTGGGCTTTGGGGTTAAACACATAAAATTTAGAACACTTTTCACAGCCTTATTTCTGGCTGTATACATTTCAGAGCTGGATTCACCTCTGCACCACATAGGTGTGGTTGAGACCACATGCACCATAGCACTCTCTCCTACCTTGAATCAGCCTCTGGTCCTACCACTTGATGTCACAAAGGCTGGCATCATGGACAAGAGAGTATTTCTAAAAGCTGGTTTTCCACTTTGCAGTAACCCTGACTAGTGATAACCTAGCTATACAGAAAGAAAATACTGCACACCACATGTGTATTTTCAAGAGAACCCAAGTGAAACATATCTTTAACTCTTAGCTGGTTCCCCAAAATGTCATGACCCCTATACTAACATGCACATGAAGGGAAATACAGCAGAGGGAAGTTGGAGTGGAAATAGACAGTGGTCCTAACACGTTGCAGGTAATAGGTCTTACCCATGAGAACTTTACAAAATAATACAACCTGGAGGAGACACAGTGGGATCCTTCCTGGGGCTTTGGAGGGCCCCATGAAGAGAGGAGCCCTGAGGTTAAGGAAGTGCCCGTGTTCCACCCCAAACACTGCAGCAATGCTCTCTCTCGCAACCTCGTGACTTACATGTGAACTTCTTGTAAACAGGGACCACATCTTTCCATCCTGCCTAATACGAGAGCTAGGTGAGTGCTGTGACTCAAATGGTTTGTCGTTTCCCCAAGTGCACCTTGTATTTTCCTCCCCCATGTGTTTCTTCGTACTATCCCCTCTGGAAGGAGTACTCCTCCTGTACCCTTGAATATCCATCTCCTGCCCACCTGTAGACCCCTGATTTTGTGGGCACCTCTCAGGAATCTTTCCTGGGCCCCGCCTCTCTCCCAGGCAGTGATGGTTGCCTTTACACCTTGTGTGTGGTGCCTGTCACGTTTGTCCATGGGAATCAGGACTGACAGGTACATCTTCAGCAGTGTTACCAGACTGCAAACCTCTGGAGGAAAGGGTCTAGGTTTCACTCATCTTCCTGTCCTTCAGGCCCAGAGACGTGTACTTGCTAGACTCCCGTTAAGAACAGCAACTGCAGCTGTGATTCATACGGTACGTGCCAGACTTCACCTACTATTTGAACCTGCCAATGACCTATCAGAGGTATTAATGTTCTGCTCATTTTACAGCTGAGGAAACAGATTTAGAGGTTAGGTGACTTGTCCCATTCCTTGAGACTACCACAAGCACGTTGAAAGGAAACTGCCTTGACTGCTTTTGTGAAACCAGAATGTCAGTATGGGTCTGCTTACGGGGCCAATGAAGAAAGATTAGATAGGTGAAGACCAGAGGACACAATGTATGAGCTTGAAAATTTGACATCTTAATTCTTTATAAAAGGTTGCCATTCCACTGCCTCTGGGAGACCTGTCTATTGCCAGTCAGTCCCCATTTTCCCTGACCTTCTCAGCCCTTGTTACCTCCCTGTCACCTCTGGGAGGGCTGTGGTCAGAGCTGGTCACCACAGAAGTAGGAGAGGAGGGCACGATTCTGGTGACTCCACTGCTCCTGCTGCTGCTAAGTCGCTTCAGTTGTGTCCGACTCTGTGCGACCCCATTGACGGCAGCCCACCAGGCTCCGCCGTCTCTGGGATTCTCAAGGCAAGAACACTGAAATGGGTTGCCATTTCCTTCTCCAGTGCGTGAAAGTGAAAAGTGAAAGTGAAGTCTCTCAGTCATGTCCGACTTGTAACAACCCGATGGACTGCAGCCCACCAGGCTCCTCCATCCATGGGATTTTCCCGGCAAGAGTACTGGAGTGGGGTGCCATTGCCTTCTCCAGGTGACTCTACATCAGGGCCCAATTAAGACCTTTAGAAAGGTCCAAGATACTGAGAAGTGAATGCTGCCCCCCACTTCCAAATGTAAAGTCTAAATTCTGTCTCAGGCACACACACAGACACGGCCCTAAAATAAATGGGAAGAAGGCCAAGATTCTAATTTATCCCAGGAAGTCTACTTTGATTTCTTTAATATCAAAGTGAAAGTGAAAGTAGATCAGTCATGTCCGACTCTTTGCGACCCTATGGACTATACAGTCCTTGGAATTCTCCAGGCCAGAATACTGGAGTGGGTAGCCTTTCCCTTCTCCAGAGGATCCTCCCAACCCAGGGATCGAACCCAAGCATCTCCCAAAAAAGTGAAGGTGCCCAGCAGCTCTGCTAACACCCTAAAGATACACTGAGTCTGTCTGTGGATGACATAGCATTGCTCCAGAATGGGGTGACCAGACATCCCACTTTGCCTGGGCTAGTCTCCACTTACGTCTGCTACCAAGGGCTCTGATGATTACTATCACCCTCTCTTATTCTCAAAAGTATCTCAGTTTGAATGATAAAAGTGCCTTGATATTTTAACTCTGGGAGTAACAGCGTTTGCAGGACAGCCAAGGGTGCCTTGGTTTCCCGGAGAAACCTGAGATGGGGGTGGGAAGAGTATGGCACCCAGGCCTCAGCAGTACAGAGAAAGATTAATAATGAGAGAATGAAATGGGCATGAATTGAAGGAGGAAAGACACAACTTCATGTGTGTGTTTTTGTGGGAAACGGATTAATATAAAAGTTGGTTGGAAATGTTTGTCTTCATCAGTGAGTTTACCGTGCGTGCACAAGTGGGTCACTGAGCTGGAATCTGAATCCGTGGCTGTCTTACCCTAAATACTTCATGAGTGGATCCATTTCAGCACAGGCAAATGGTATTATCTGAATGATGAGTGTCTCCAGAATAGAAGAGACAGAAAGAAGGTGAGCCGAAGTAATATTTGAGGGAGGAGAAGAAAAGAGAGCTATGTCGTAGGGACTTAGCAGGCTGGAAAGTCAGGAGGAGTGGGACGTCTCCAACCATCCATCACGCCCGTCCTGGGACAGGGGAGCATAGGTCAGCTCAGGGTACCGTCCTCACTGGCAGGCTTGTGTTCTTAGGATTCTGTCAACAGCACACTCGTGACCACATGCAGGGGCAGGACACGTGAGCCCCCTCAGAGCACTCAAGTGCCCCTCTGTAGTGTGAGCCCACGAAGTGCACTATAAAAGTCACGCCAATGAACAGTTCACACTGAAACATTCAGAATGTCCTAACACATGCAAGTGGACCATTCCTTTCAGAGCCCCATTTAATTTTTTCCGGGGGTATCTGCCCACAGTGCCTTGTTCCCCTGAAGCCGGGATGCATTTGGGGCTTGGCTTAGCACACTTCTTAGAATTCCTGTTTAAGATGGAGTTTCATGCCAAGCTAACATGCATCACTTAGGGGCTGAGCTCAGCACCCTGGCCATGCCCCAGAAGGAGGTTAAAATAGGACCAAGGGCAAGCCGGGCTCACTGTCATTCGCAAGCGTGGGCCCCAGGGCTCACACTACCAGCACAGGGCCGGGCAGAGATCCAGAGAGGCAGCTGGCGGGGGAGGACGGGGTGCCACCAACTGGAACAAACAAACAAAAAAATTGCATCTCTGATTTCTATATTCAGGCCATCAATCACCCCCTGGCATCATGAGAAAGTGGTACCTGCTTCCAGGTACACCCTCACAGTCATTTGCGGCTCCTAGTCCCCAACTCTTCAGAATTTATCCTAAACAAGGGCTTTTGGGCTTTTCTGTTCCATGACCCCTTTGGTAATCTGCTGAAGCCCCTTCTCACAATAGATACATAAAATAAGATACACAGGATTTGAAAGAAAATCAATTATGTTGAAATAGCCATTATAATGTTGAAAAAACAAATTTATTGTGGAGTAAAACAATTTCTTCTTTATTAACATATTAAATAAACAAGACCTAGCAGCAAGTCAAATAAATAACTACTATAATTTGAGGTAGTGACAAGTGGGAATATTTCAAGGTATCTGCAACAAATATATTATAACATCATAAATCTGATTTCTTTGGGTGACAAACCCTGCTAATTCTTCTGTGGCTGGTTGCCTGCCTTCCTGCTGAAGAAAATGCTAACTTTCAACCGAAGGTTAATTAAAAAAAAAGAGAGAGAGAGGTAATTTTTCCTATCCTAATTCAGAGACTCCCTAACCCCAGAACAAGAACCCTGTCTTATGACATTATAAAGATGTACTTCAGGACATGAGGTTTTCTATACTGTTCTTTCAAATTATATAGTCTTAGGACCACAGGGAACTTGTACACCTTCGTGCTTTATAACTATCTGGCATGTTTACTCGTAGCAATTCTTATTTAAGCACTATAATAAAAAAGTCTATAGACTTTTATTTAAAACAGAAAGCAGAAAAAAATAGAAAAATTATTCTAACCACACCAGACCCCAGGTCCCCCTCTATCCAGCACCCTCAGTCTTTTTCTCCAGGAGCAAACATTGTTACCAGATTGCATATAGTTCCAGAAATATTCTATTTATTTATAAGCATCCACATACATACGTGTGTATATGTAAATATTTGAGTTGTATGTGTGTGGAATGTGTGTATGCATCCTGTGTATTTTTACCAACGGTATCATTTTATAAACACAATAGTGGAGGTTACGTTTTACACTCATCAATAACATATCTTGGACATAGTTCTCTGTCAGAATTGTATAGTTAGACTGTTTTCCTTTTCATGGCTATGTAATCCATTTATGGAGTATCCTACTTTATGAACATTTTCCCAGTTCATTGACATTAGGTTAATTTTGGTTTTTCCGTACTAAGAACAGTGCTGCAGTGAAGACTCTTGTCTCTATGTCTGTGCCCACATACTCAGGATAAATTCCTAGAAATATGAATCACTGGAGCAAGAAATATTTGGTATTTTAGGTTTAACCTGATTATGTTCGAAATTTTACTATCTAAGGAATTTAAAATATATTAAAATGTGAAGTTGTTAATATGAATAGGTTAGATTTATCATGCAGGAGGGTTGTTCATGATATTGAAGTGAAAAAGATAATTCACAGGATTATATATAATCTTATTTTTAAAAACTATTAACTTAGTCACCTTCAGAAGTATCATGAAGTGAGGAGGAGTAGATTTTAACTTTTTATACACCTCTGTGTTACTTCATATTTCACATTATTTCACATGCGTGCCTTTGTATATACACAAATAGGACCACATAGTGCTTTTATCACTAAATATAAAGTGTGGACTTCCTACCATTTCAATAAATCTGAATCATTTCCATTTTTAATTTATATTTCACATCTTTTTAATGATGTATTACAATCCATAATAGAAAGTGTATGTATTTAGTCACTCAATTATGTCTAATTCTTCTTGGCTCCATGGACTATAACCCACCAGGCTCCTCTGTCCATGGGATTTTCCAGGCAAGAATACTGGAATAGGTTGCCATTTTCTCCAGGGGATCTTCCCAACGCAGGGATGTCTCTTATATCTCCTGCATTGGTAGGCAGATACTTTACCACTAGTGCCATGTAGGAAGTACCATAATGTGATTAACCAATCCACTTATGGCAGTAGTGGTCAGATTTATCTAAATAGGTAAGACACACACAAGGTATCACATTCACAAGGCCCGAGTGTAGAATGCAAAGCATGTCCCTCTCATTTCCTTGGTTCCCACCTATCTAATTTCCCTCCCACCTATCTAATTTTCCTCCCTGGAGGCAACTATTGTTACCAGTTTCTTGCACATCCTTTCAGAAATATTCTATGCATATAAAAATATATTTATATGCTCTCTTTAATAGAAATAACATGCTGTTCTGCACTTTGCTTTTTCACTGAATAGTGCATCTTGGAGATGTTTCCACTTAAGGATAAACAGAGCAACTTCATTCTTTTTGTTAATTTCATAGTATTCCTTTTTTTCCCAAATAGACTTCGATAGAACATTTAGGTTGTTTCAACCCTTTTATTATTGCAAACAACATTGTAATGAATATTCCTATACATACTTCACTCTTTCCCACATTATATGATTAAAATCCTGGAAGTGAACTATTCTGAGGAAATTTTTAATTTTTTATAAATATTTTCAAATTGTTCTTCATAGTGATTGTACCAATTTGTATTTCCTTGACTGACATTTGAGAGTGACCACTCATTCCCTAATAGTTTGCTATCAAACTTTTTGATCTTG